AAGTGCAGCCAGAGTGTTCCTTCGAGGCCAAGATGGCCAAACTTCGTCTCTCATACTTTGGACATATTGTCAGGAGGGACCAGTCGCTGGAGAAGGACATCATGTGTGGTAAGGTGGAGGGTCAGAGAAAAAGAGGAAGACCCCCAATGAGATGGATTGGCCAAGTGGCAGCATTGATGAATTCAAGCGTGGCAACCGTAGTGAGGTTGGCCTAGGATCAAGCAGTGTTTCGTTCTGCTGTGCATAAGGTCGCTATTGAGTCGGTACCAACTCGATGGCACCTAACAACAACAATTAACATGGGCAGCCACTTTAGGTAACTAAGATGACTGACTTTCATTATCTGCTTTTACACTTAGGGCAGTGATTGGGAGGTGGCATCAAGGGTCTTTAACATTGTACAGGCAAGTCTCTTGATTTTCACATATAGGGTCAAGACCACAGCAAGCATTAAAAAGGGGATAGGGTCACATGCTCAGCTGGACTGAACAGATGTAGATCGATACAGAAGTCAAGTGGGAGGAGCACTAGCGATGAGGTCTGTCAGTCAGGTCCTGTCTCTGGGGTAGGAAAGTGATGAGTCTTCCAAATGCATAGGGACTCTCCTCCCAACATCCGCCCCAGTAGAGTTAGCTGAGAAGTAGAAGAAAGCCTTAGTTCCACAGATGAAAACCTACCCTGCTGGAGCTGTGTTATAAAAGTACTAACTCCAGTAAGACAGGAGGTAAAGGCTTGTTCAACATACAACCCCCCTTCAAACAGAAACCAGACACATTCATTACATCCTTGCCCAGGATATCTCAACATTTTCATCCTGGCAATAGGGGACTAGATCTGAGTGTCCAACCCATAGTAGGAGAAAGAAGAGGAATGCAGTTTTCATTGCAGCTTAAGATCACGGGAAGAGTTCATGGCCAATAGTTGTCCAGGATTTTTCTTGACTCCTGTGTGGTGAGTCCAGGTCTTGAGGCCCGAGAAGTCTGAGAGCAGTGGAATTGGTCAGCAGGATCTTCCAACGCCCCGTCCACTTCTCTAACTGGGAGTTAAGTCCGTCTTTCCATGTTTTGAGCAGGACATGATCTCCTGATCTTGCTGCATCGGACTTTCACTGTTTGGTCCCCTGAAAACAGCTGTTCGAGGACTCAGATTCACCTCTGATGAAGAAGTAAAGACAACAGTGGATTAGTGGCTCCCAGCTCAGCTGAAGCCATTTTTCAATAAGGGAATATGAAAGCTTGTTGACAGATGGACAAAGTGTGTTGAAAAGCAAGGAGATTATGTCGAAAATAATGTATTTGTCTTTTCTAAAAGTTGATTAAAATAAATTCTACAGCCAGAGTATAGATAATTTTTGACTGACTCTTACAGTATATTTCTAATATCAGACATTATAGTTTTCTTCTCTAAAAATTTGAAATGGGAGATATTTTATATTATTCATGTCTGTAATTAATAAAACCAGCTTCCAAACTCCTTTTCCTCTACTCAGGAATACCTCCAGTCTCTGGCCTGGACCCCTTCCCCCAACCATGGCCTCAAAACTTCCTCCAGACAGTAAGCTGGGTCAAGCATAGGCCCACCTCATTTGTTTCCCATCCCTTGAAGAATTGCCTTTCTTACTTGTATTGTGTCCAGTTGTGGGTTAGGCAGAAGGATAAATCTGGTCACTGGTGCTCCTCCCTTTCCTCTCATTCACTATTCTTATTTTTCAGGATCTTTCTGGATATTTCCTGGCTGATGTCATATCGTTTTTTTTCCAGATAAACTTTAGAATCATTTTAAGCTACTCATTTTTTTTTTTTCAGGTGGTTTCTTCCTTGGATAAAGTCTGCTTTAAAACATTTGCGTTTGGGAGCTAATGATGTCCAGGTATTAATTAAACAGAGTAGGGCTCTAGCATCAGGAGCTCTGATTTAAAGCTTCTGAAGACATTCGCATAAGTAGGAAATTAGTTTAATAGTGAAGGGGCAACCATTCACATGAATAGATTCATTATGTTGTTGTTACGTGCTGTCGAGTTGGTTCCGACCCAAAGCGACCCTGAACAGGGTTTCCGAGGCTGTAAATCTTTACGGGAACAGAAAGCCTCGTCTTTCTCCCACGGAGCAGCTGGTAGTTTCGAACTGCTGACCTTGTGGTTTGCAGCCCAATTCATAACCACTGCGCTACCAGAGCTCCTTAGATTCATTTATAAGTCATATTAAAAATGTAGAATCCATATAAGTGCTGTCGAGTCGGTTTCAGCTCATAGAGACCCTGTGTAGGGTTTCAGAAGAGCAGCTGGTTGGTTTGAACTGCCAACCTTGTGGTTTGCAGTCCAGTGCTGATCCCGTACTTCAGGATAATGCACTTGACTGTAAGTCAGTTTTAGCCACAAGGGCGGCGGTTCAAATCCACCAGCCACTCCTTGGAAACTTTATACAGGGTAGCTATCAGTTGGAACCGACTCTATGGCACTTAACAATCCATATAGGATTAGTAATAAATTAATAGTTATAGGTCATTAATAAATATGAACTATATTGTTATTGGAGTCCTGGTGTGGCACTGTGGCTCAATGCGTCACACTGCAAAGTCGTTTGAACTGCAAGGTCAGTGGTTCAAGCTCACCAACTGCACCTTGGAAACCCTGTACTGACTGGAACACACTTAACAACAACAACAATAACATATTGTTATTGGTGCTCTGGTGTGGTGCTGGAGGATAAGCACTGGACTGCTAGCCACAGGGTTAGCAGTTCAAACCACCAGCTGCTCCTAGAAAACCGTATACAGGGTCCCTATGAGTTGGAGCTCACTCTATAGCACTCAACACACATACACATACACACAAATATTGTTTGGAGTTAGCAGAACCACAATGCCTGAGGACACAGTAAACAAAACTGCCCTCATTCCGTCACCAAGTTCAAGTCTTAAGGAGGATAATTCACTAGAAGGACTCACAGATCGTACTGAAAACGATTATACTCATTTGTTGTTCTTAAGTGCCGTGGAGTTGGTGCCAACTCATAGGGACCCTGTATAGGGAGGGCTTCCAAGGAGCAACTAACTAGTGAGTTTGAACAGCTGACTTTGCAGTTCAAACTGACCTTGCAGTTCAGCGCTTATCCTAAATTGCCATACTAGGGTTCCGTTATACTTGTTAAGTTTCAGAGAATTGGTTCTGACTCATAGTGACCCTATATAGGGTTTCTGAGGAGCAGCTGGTGTGTTTGAATCACAAACCTTGGGGTCCAAACCGGCATTACAGTCCAGTGCTTATTCTACAGCACCACACCAGGGCTTCATTATATTTGTTGTTGTTAATGTTGTTAAGTGCTATTGAGTTGGTTCCGACCCATAGTGACACTGTTGTACAAGGTTTCCGAGGAGCAGTTGGTGAGTGTGAACCACCAACGTTGTAGTTCAAACTGACTTTGAAGTCCAGTGCATTAACCCACAGCACCATACCAGGACTCCATACTGAGTTTATTACTGGGAAGAAATTCAGGTTAAAATCAGCTAACGGAAGAGACACAAAGAGCAGCACAGCATCTGGGAGGTTTTCAGAACACAAAATTTCCTAAGGGTATGTTAACTTCTGAGAAGCAAAGTGTGAACTTTCTGGAGTATTGCCAACCAGAGAAGTTCAGCTTTGGTGTGCAGAGTTTTTATTGGGACTTCATTACATAGGGTGTCTTCCTCTGATTGATTTAATATGTGTTTGAACACAGTTTCTAGATTGATTGATCTGACATGAGTCAAAGCTTCCATCCTAAGTTTTTCTGGTGTGGCCAGCTCTACGCTGTGACTGTTAGGTGTGGCTTGCCTCACCGTAATTTATATTATACTGAGCCTTGCTCTGAACAAAGACTCCTATCAAGTAGGTCACAGATTACCTGCCAGAACCCAGGGCAAAGACTACACCTTTCTTTGTAGTTTTTGTTGTTTTTGTTAAGTGTCATCAAGTTGGTTCCAACTCACAGCATTTCTGTAGAGCAGCTGGTGGATTTGAACCACTGACCTTGTGTTTAGCAGTCCAGTGCTTATCTTATAGAGCCACATCAGGAGTCCAGACCTCTCTTTGGGCAAGAACATATTCTGTACCACATAATAGAAAACTGTTATGAATCTATACAATATATACGTTGTTGTTATTAGGTGCCATGCAGTTAGTTCTAACCCATAGTGACTCCATATACAACAGAGCAAAACACTGTGTGGCCCTGTGCCAGCCTCACAGATGATGTGCTGGAGTCCGTTGTGACAGCCACTGTGTCGGTCAACCCTGTTGACAGTCGTCTGACCCTCTACAAATTATTTATAGCGCTGAATGAAGAAAGTAACTCTGAATAATAGTCTTTTAATATTTTTCTTTCTTTCTAGATCTAAGCACTCAAGTTAAATCAAGCTGGGTAATCATGGCAGAAGGTGGATTCGATCCTTGTGAATGTGTTTGCTCTCATGAACATGCAATGAGAAGGCTGATCAATCTGGTGAGATGAACAGGACAGTCCTATCCAGAACTGAACTGTACCATTTTTGTATGAGAATATTGGTTATTAAGGAATATTCATCTGATGGTCACCAAAAAGTATTTTATAATGGAAAGTTCACAGTGGTTTAAGTCATGTGGTTAATAAATGTTTGCTAGCAATACTTTTATTAAAGATAAAAGCAGATTACTATCTTAATTCATAGTTGGACTTAAAAGCTGATTAAATTGGCCATCCTGGGTAGATAGCACATATTAGTGTACAGTCTTTTCTAGTGTATGTTAATGTAAATTGTCTTCAGCTACATGGTCCTTATTTACTTGGTAAATGACTATAAAATCACAGTTTCTGTTGTTCAAACCCAATTTTGACATATGACAAGATAATTCAAATCTCTGTATAAAAGATTTCCAAATCAGTTATTTGATATAAACATTTTTTTTTTCCTGAAAAGGGTACGCTATTGTTGTTAAGAGCCATCAAGTAGGTTCCAACCCATAGCGACCCTGCATAGGGTTTCCGAGGAGTGGCTGATGAGCTTGAACCGCTGACGTTGCAGTTCAAATGGCTTTGCAGTCTGGCACATTAACCCACAATGCCACACCAGGACTCCTTGAAAAGGATATAGGTAATATCAAAGATGACAGTAAAATTTTGATTTGTTGTTGTTGTTAGGTGTCATTGACACCATAACGACTCATAGCGACATTATGCACAGCAGAATGAAACACTGCCCGATCCTGGGCCAGTCTCACTACTGTTGCCATGCTTGAGCCCATTAATGCTGGCACTTTGCCAATCCATCTCTCTGGGGGCTTCCTCTTTGTCTCTAGACCTTACCACACATGATATCCTTCTCCAGCAAGTGCTCCCTCCTGACGATGTGTCCAAAGTATGAGAGACAAAGTTTGGCCATCCTGGCCTCCAAGGAGCCCTCTGGCTACACTTCTTCCAACACAGATCTGTTGGCTCTTTTGGCAGCACATGGCATTTTCAATATTCTCTACCAGCACTATAACTCAAAAGCATCAATTCTTCTATGGTCTTCCTTATTCACTGTCCAGCATTCACATGCATATGAGGTTATTGAAAATACCAGGGCTTGGGTCAGGCGCACTTTAGTCCTCAAGCTGACATCTTTGCTTTTCAACAAGGTCTTGTGCAGCACATTTGCCTAATGCAATACGTCATCTGATTTCTTGACTGCTGCTTCCATGAGTGTTTATAGTTGATCCAAGAAGCTGCTAGTGTGGCCCTGTGGGTTAATGCACTCTACCACTAGGTCAGTTTGAACCACAGGATTGCTGGTTCAAGCTCACCAGCTGCTCAGAGACAGCATTTAATAAAATTTTGATTGGAGAGTTTTTAAGACTTTATCCTTGTCCTAGAAGAATTGATGCATTTGACTTGCAGTGTTGGAGGAGAATATTAAAACTACCATGGACTGTCATAAGAAAGGCAGATCTGTGTTGGAAGAAGTATAGCCAGAATGCTCCTTGGAAACCAGGATGGCCAGACTTCTCTCATAATTCAGACATATTATCAGGAGGGACCAGTCCCTGGAGAGGAATATCATGTGTGGTAAAGTGGAATGTCACAGAGAAGAGGAAGACTCCCAATGAGATGAATTGGTACAGTGACAGCAGCAGTGGGCTCAGAAGTAGCAACAGTTGTGAGGTTGGCGCAGGACTGGGCAGTGTTTCATTCTGCTGTGCATAGGGTCACCATGAGCTGGTACCAACTTGATGGCACCTAGCAACAACAATCCTTGTCTGTAAACTTAAGTGCAGGGCTGTTGATAGTATAGTGTACCATTGATAATGGGCAAAATAATTTGTTGTTGTTTACTATGGTTATGCAAAAGTATATAGTAAAAGCAGGCACAGATATTTGCTCAAATATTTAAGTGGTTGTTGTTAAGTGCCGTCAAATTGGTTCCTCCTCACAGCAACCCAGTATAGGGTTTCCAAGTCTGTACATCTTTGTTGGAGCAGAAAGCCTCATCTTTCTCCTGTGGAATATGTGGTGGATTTAAATAGCCAACCTTGTAGTTTTGAGTCTAGTGCTTTTCCTAGAGAGATACTGCCCTCCAAATTTTTGTTGTTAAGCGACTTTGAGTTTGTTTTCATTCATAGCAACCCTGTATAGGGCTTCCAAGGAGTGGCTGGTGAGTTTGAACTGGTAGACTTTCGGTCCAGAGCTTATCCTACAGCACCACACCAGAACTCAATTTTTTTTTTTAGGTGGTGGCAGTTAATCAGCAAGTTTTCTGCTGTCCGGTTGTGACTAAATAATAAGAAATGTATTTCTTGTGAATGGCATACCTTTTAGGATTAGCATATATTGTTGTTGTTGTTGTTAAGTGCTGTTTTGTGAGTTCTGACTCATACTGACCCTTTTTAGGTCAGGGAGCAGCTGGTGGGTTTGAACTGCTGACCTTGTGGTTAGCAGTCCAGTGCTGGTCCTACAGTGCAACACCAGGAGTCCTGGGTTAGAATATACTAGGATTTATTTCCACCGCTTGTCCGTCAGGCTGCCGTACTGTGGTGGCTTGCATGTATCTGTGATACTGGAAGCTGTGTCACAGGTATTTTAAATAACCAGCAGGGCATACCTCTGGGGGGCAGGCTTCAGCTGAACTTCCAGACTAAGACAGACTAGGAAGAGAGGTGGTTTGCTTCTGAATGTTTAGCCACTGAAAACCTTATGAAACCAGTCAGAATACCACCAGAATATTAAATATTGAAACATGATGAATAGCACCAGAATATTGTCGGGAGTCTTGGTGTGACACTGTAGGATAAGCACTCAACCATAATACTGGTTCAATCTGCAAGGTCAGAGTTCAAACTCACCAGCCATTCCTTGGAAAATTTCTACAGGGCTTCTGTGAGTTGGAGCCAAATCTACAGCACTCAACAACAACAACAACACTGTCAAAGAAGTGCCAGAAGATGAGCCCCTCAGGTTGGAAGGCACTCAAAATGCAACTGGGGAAGAGCTGCCTCCTCAAAGTCAAGTTGTCTATGATGACATGAATGGAATAAAACTTTCATTATCTGCAGATGGGTCTCTTGTGATACAATGGTGAATAATTGTTATCAGGACTGCTTGTGAGGGTTGGAAATGTAAAAGTAGATGTTTTGTAGCAAGGAGGGGAGTGATTAGCTTTTCAGCCTAGGAGTGGAGGTCCCTGGGACCATCAAGGTAGAAGAGCGGAGAGCGGGACCCTACCCTGAGAAAAAGATGGTAACGTGGAGAGATGGAGCAGCTGAGGACTTTAGACACAGAGAGAGAGGGGCTGTGTGCTGACGACCGGGGGGCAGACTTGTAGGGTATACCCTTTGGTTGATTGATGATGCATGGAGGGGATTGTAACCATAGCAATGAAATGATATACAATAGGATGAATGTAAAACTAATGTTCTCCCATGTAAACTATCATATAATACACAATAAAACATTAAAAAAAAAAGTGGAGGAAAAAAAATAACTTTCATTATCTCCATTTGCTGATGGGCACAACTCAAAAAGAGGAGAAACAGCTGTAAACATCCATTAATAATCAGAACATGGAACGCACAAAGTATGAGTCTAGGAAAATAGGAAGGAGTCAAAAATGAAAAGGAACGTATAAACAGTGGCATTTTTGACATTAATGAGATGAAATGGATTAGTATTGGCCATTTTGAATCTGATAATCACATGACTTATTATGCCTGGAATTACAAACTGAAGAGGAATGGTGTGGCCTCCATCATCAAAAAGAACATTTCAAGATCTATCTTGAAGTACAACTCTGCCTGTAATCAGCTAGTATCCAAACATCTACAAGGAAGACCACTTAATACAACTATTATTCACATTTACTCACCTATCAATAAAGCCATTGATGATGGAATTGAAAAATATGACCAACTTTTTCATTGTGAATTTTATCAAATGCGATCAAGATATATAAATAATTACTGATGACTGGAATGCAAAGGTTGGAAACAGAGGAAGGATCAATAGTTGGAACATATGGTCGTGGTGATAGAAATTATGCTGGAGGTCAAATGATAGAATTTTGTTATCAGCATTCTTGGAAGCAGCAAATGATGTATTGCATTAGTTAAATCTGCTGCACAAGACCTCTTTAAAGTGTTCAAAAGTTTGAGGACTAAGGTATGCCTGTCTCAAGCCATGATACTTTCCACATCTTCATATGCATGTGAAAGTTAGGTAATAAATAAGGAAGATCTTAGAAATATTAATGCATTTGAGTTTTGGTGTTTGAGGATAATATTAAAATTACCATGGACTGCTAGAAGAGCAAACCAGTCTGTGTTGGAAGAAGTACAGCCAGAATGCTTCTTGGAAGCCAAGGTAGTGAGACTTCATCTCTCATACTTAGGACCTACTATCTGGAGGGATCAGTACCTTACACTAACAAAAGAAAAAAGATGATGACCCCCACTGAGATGTATTGTCATAGCAATAGACCCAAGCATAACAAGAATTGTGAGGATGGCACAGGGCTGGGTAGGGTTTCATTCTGTTGTGCATTTGAGGTGGAATTGACTCTCTGATACCTGACAACAACAACAAAGATAACCCACTCCTAAATTGGATTATGACCACAGGCTTGTTGTTGTTGTTAAGTGTCATAGAGTTGGTTCAACTCCTAACGACCCTGTGTAGGGTTTCTGAGTAGTGGCTGGTGAGTTTGAACCGCCGGTCTTGTGATTCAGACTGACCTTCTTATATAAGCACTTGGTGTGGTGCTTACACTACAGCACCACCCCAGGACTCCAGACCACTGGCATAGAGGTTTGGATTTATAACAGATTTTGGAAGAGTGCTGACGTGGTACTGGAAGAGAAGCACTAGACATAAGATCGGTTTGAACTGCCAGGTCAGCAATTCAAACTCACCAGTTCAGACTCACCAGCCACTCTTCGGAAACTACATAGGGTCGTATGAGTCAAACCAACTTGACTGCACTTATCAACAACAAT